TTTCATTGCCATGGTTACAATACCTTCTATGCATCATCAACCAACCAAAGGGTAGACCATGCAAGCCTGCCCCCTCAGTCATCAGCACACAGCCCCTCTCCCTCTCTGGGTCTAAAGTCCCCAGCCACTTCATCTCTTCATGTCATTGCCTCTGCCTCCATCTCTGACATCACTGCTTCTCTGGGTAGGTTCCCACACTCCGCTCTTCTCCCTTGATGGTCCCAGGGACCTCCGTTCCTAGACAGCAAAGTCAATCACTGCCCTCCTTTTGCTACAAAATGTCTACCTGTACATTTCCAACCCTCACAGTCAGTCCTGATAACAATTATTCACTATTGTATCACGAGAGATCTATCTGCATCTCCTTTCATCAGCCCTGCCCAGACAGACTGGATATTACTCAGTGGGGATTCTACCTTTCTCCATGCCCTCTGGATCTAGGCTCCCTTTTGAAAGCGTTTAAGCCAGTTACTTCTTGCTGTAAAGATTTGTTCCCTCTTTTGAGCTACTGCATCCATAGGTGTAGGTCAAGTTCATCAAATTGTATCAGATTACTCTTTTTTCCCTCTTCTTTCTTATAGTTGAGCTCTGATCATCCAGTCATTGAAGCCAGGTCAAGTGGGTATTATCTGCAAGTGTGGGTATTCTTATGCATATGCCCTCTCTTCTTATCAGCTGGACTCTTCACTCTCCACTCTAGTCCTCTGTGGCTATGTCACTGACTCTGGGCCCAAGAGTCCCCAGATTAAACTACCACACTTCTGGCCAAAGACATGTTAACATTTAAGTAACATATTTTCTTTTTCTCTTAAATGTCCTGAGTGAAAAGCTCAGTATCCCTGCTTCTACTTTCTTCTCATGTGAACAAGAAACCTGAATTCCTAGATTTTAAGCTTCATGTGGGTGGGGTTTCTGTCTTTTATACACTGTAATACCTGTATGTGCATATTTGTTTAGAGTAAATATTCATACCCTTTACATCCTGTCTAGAAATTACAATCTTGGCCACGACTACACTTGGTCCACATGTCTTCTTCTTGCAACTCAGTCCCTGAAATTTAGGATTTAGACTCACCAAAGTAAAACAAAACAGGCTTTGCAGGGGGAAAGGCTGCAATGAAGAAATGGGCTGAACGACCGCATTCCATCGACTCCCGTTGACTTGGAGATGAGAGAGTGAAGAGGAAGGGCTGGTTGACCCGAATTGTGGTGAGACCTGGGGACACCTGTGCCCGTGGACGAGTACTTAGCCTTGGAGAGCTGGAGCTGAGAGTGAAGCATCCAGCCGATTTGAAGTGAGGGGAGACGTACAAGAACGCCTAAACTTGTTTAAAAAAAAAAAGATTCTGACAAAGGAGGTAAATGTAAATTGCTATAATTTGATGAACTTGACCTATACTTTTGGATGTAGTAGCTCAAAATACCAACTGAGACGGAAAGAGTCTTCATATCAAGTATCAATCCTATCCCCACTATACACAGGGGATACAGACAGGCAGCTTAGACTTTGGCTACCTAAAACTAGGGGCCATAAAGGCATGAAGTGACTGGCTTACAAGTTTTCAAGAAGGAGTTTAATTTCAGAGTGTGCAGGGGAAGGTAGAATCCCCATTGAATAATATTCATCTTGTCTAGATGGGTTTGGTGATAAGATATCCAGATAAGATTCTTATGATTCAATAGTAATTATTATCATGACTAATTGCGACTGTCACACAATAAATGTAGACGTTTTGTAACAAAAAGGGGGGAGTAGTTAATCCTATAGTCCAGGAACAGAGGACACTAGGACCATCAAGAGAGAAGAGCACAAGCGGAATATGGGATCCTATCCAGAGAAACAGTGACAGCAGAGATGGAGGCAGAGATAGGGACATGGAGAAATAGAGCCGCTGAGGACTCTAGACTCATGGAAAGAGAAAGGCAGAGTGCTGGCTGCCAGGAGGCAGGCTTACAGGGTATGCCCTTTGATTTTTTAAATGATTATATATTCCTGAGTGCTTTTGTGTAAAATAAAAACAAAACAAAACAAAAAACTCCAAAACAGAGAGAATAGAAGCAAATACTGTTGAATGATGAGGCACGGAGGAGACTGTAATCATTGCAATGAAACGAGTGTACAACCGATGTTCTCCCATGTAAACTATCACCCAATTTTCAATAAAAACTTAAAACAACACCACCACAAAACAGGCTTTGCAGCAGTCCCACAATCGAGGATTCTTATGCAGCACTATAAGGTTTCTGAAGTGCAGGTGGTGGGTTTGAACTGCAAAACATGCCCATTGCCTAAATGGGACAGAGATAAAGGACGATAGACGCACAACCTTGGAACGACAGGGCTCTGAGACACAGGGATTGAGTCATGGTTGGAATGGCGGCGGGGTGGGGGTGGGGGATCATGTTAAGATGCTTGACTGTTTTTGTTTGTTTGTTTGTTTGCTTGTTTTAATCTTGGTTCCCCTTGCATTATAATATAGAGTAGACACTGGAGAGGGAGAGAAAGGAATAGTCAGAAACACCACACTAGAAGGCTTGTAAGTCCCTCTTCTGCCTATGACTGATTGGAATACCTAAAATGGGGCCACAGCGTACCCAGTGAACGAGGCTTCTTGCGGAGCCTTTGCAATATATAAAACTATAGGTAGAAACCAGAACCACATCCAGATCTCCAGAGATGAGAAATCTCTACTTGAAAGGATGAGCAGACCAACCTGGAGCAGCTAGAAGAATAAAAGATACCTCTTGAAAGAAAAACCTGCAGGAAAAATGGAGGCAGATGGACTGTTACTACAAGAACAAACAAATCGCTTCCCTAGAAAACATCAAGGCAAGTGGCCAGGTCCCCTCAACGCAAACCCCCTTCCAAGACTAAGACTCAACGGAAATGCACACTCTGATTGGTGACCACACACATCACCGATGGGGGGAAGTGGGGTAAAAGCAGCAATGAAGTGTCAAGCTAAGCCCTACAATGTTCAGTGGACGTCTGTGGACCCAGTTGGGGACCTGGTTGGCAAGCAGTGTGAAGAGACCTGGGGACTCTTGGGCCCAGAGTCAGTGGCATGGCCACGGAGGACTTGAGAGGAGAGTGGAGCTACCAGCTGACAGGAAGAGAGGACATATGCACAGGAGCGCCCACACTTGCAGATGATACCATGTGACCTGGACCAGATGACTGGATGATCAGAGCTCAACCAGGAGAGGAAAGAAGAGGGGAAAAAAAAAAGAATGAGCTGATACAGTCTGATGAACTTGATCTATACCTATGGAGCAGCGACTCAGAGGGTACAAATCCTCACAGCAAGAAACATTCACACACACCCCCACACACAGAGTGGACAGAGAAGGGCAGCTTGGACATTGGATACTCAAATGGGGAGGGGGGTACTTCAAAGGCAAGAAGTGACTGGCTTACAAGCTTTCAAGAGGGAACCTGGTGCTAGGGAGCATGGTAGAAGGCAGAATCTCCAGTAGGTACTATTCAATCTGTCTGGGCAGAGCTGATGAAAGGAGATACAGGTGGGGAACTTGTGATACTGTAGGGAATAATGCTTATCAGGACGGATTATGAGGGTTGGAAATGCAAAGGTAGAAGTTTTGTAACAAGGAAGGGAGTGATTAATTCTCCAGGTTAGGAGCGGAGGTCTCTGGGACCATCAATGGAGAAGAGCCAAGAGCAGGACCCTACCCAGAAAAACAGAGATGCCTGAGATGGAGACAGAGATGATGATGTGGAGTGATGAAGCGACTGGGGACTTTGGACCCAGAGAGGGAAAGGGACTATGGGCTGAAAACTGGGGGGAGGAGGGGGAAGTGTAGGGGGTGGGTTTCTGGGATATACCCTTTGGGTGGTTGATGATGCATGGAGGGGATTGGAACCATGGTAGTGAGATGATGTACAATGGAATGAATGTAAAACTAAAGTTCTCCCATGTAAACTATCATATAATTTTCAATAAAACATTAAAAAACAAAAAAGCATGCCCATTGCCTTGAGATATGTTTTGCTTGGGAGGCAAACTGTATTTCCCCAGCTACAAATCAAAGGGAGTTTATTAGAACAGAACTTTCCAGGCAAGGGGGTGGGGTACCATTTAATAAAACACAGGGCATTGTGGGCTGCTAACCAAAAGGTTGGTGACTGCCAACCCACCAGCCACTCTGCATGAGAAAGATTTGCCCTTTTGCTTCCGCAAAGATTACAACTTTGGAAACTATCTGGGGCACTGATGCTCTGTCTTACAGGGTCATTAAGAGTAAGGACCAAGTTTAGTGCCTCGTTGGTTATGTGCCGTGGTGTTGGTTCCGACTCATAACGACCCTGTACAGGGTTTCCGAGGCTGTAAAATTGTGCAGGAGCAGAAAGCCTCATCTTTCTCCCACTGAACAGCTAGTAGTTTCTAACTACTGACCTTTAGGTGTGCAGCCCGATTTGTAACCACTACGCCACTGGAGTCCTGGTGTGGCGCTGTGGGTTAGTGCGCCAGACTGCAAAGCCATTTGAACTGCAAGGTCGGTGGTTCAAGCTCACCAGCTTGGAAACCCTGTACAGGGTCGCTATGGTTCAGAATCGACTTGATGGCACGTGACAACAACAACAACGACACTGGAAGTAAATTGAGGGAAACAGGCCAACACCCAATTTCTCCAAGCTCCGCCTTCTTTCGTTCACTTTTGTCCATCTCAATCCCCCGCAGACGGGGTGGGGTCGAGTTCTGTCTGGCCGGAAAGGGACAGGTAGCAGACGCCCATACTTCCGGCACCCGGTCTCCCGAGAACTTCTAACGCGAGGAGCGCGAGCAGGCTAGATGACGTCATGGAAGAGATGGTGCAGGCGGAGGCGGGATTTTGAGACGGGGCATGCGCAGGAGCACATCTTTGCCTGCGGTGAGGAAAGCAGGGCAAAAGGGTCTTCTCAGTGTACACGGTATTGTAGGCGCTGCGGCTGGGCGAACCTCTAGCGGAGGTGGATGGAGTAAGAGTGTGTGCGAGAGAGCTCTCTGCCTCCGTTTACAAATAATCTCGACGAGTCAGCCCATCGTTCGAGGGTCTTTGAATGTCGACCAGAGGGCGAAGGTGGGGTCAGGAGAAGTTAAAATACAACCCTAAAACACGTACAAGAGGTCAGGGTGTCGTTTTATGAGTATAAGAACTGAGATCCAGAAAGGGAAAGCCTTTTTCCATGGTCCGAGGCAAAACCTCACATACCCCGGTGAATGAAATTATGTGTTGTGTGAAATGTTACCATTAGACCCTCCGGAAATAAGGGGCCTGAGCACCTAGGATGTAGGAACCAGCAGGTAGTGACTAGGAAGACCGTCCTAAAAGAATCTTTAAAGGCCTCTTGCAATTCCAACAGATTGTATGTATTTACTTTTATTTCTGTAAGTGAGATGGTTGTCCACATTCTATATACATTGTTGTTGTTAAGTGCTGTTGATTTGGTTCCGACCCTTAGCGACCCTGAACAGGGGTTCCGAGGCTGTAAATCTTTACAGGAGCAGCTGGTAGTTTCCAACTGCTGACCTTGTGGTTCGCAGCCTGATTCATAACCACTACGCTACCAGAGCTACTAGTATACATTAGTTAAATCAAGTTGCTGTTCAACATTACAAGTATTCTTGGAAGGGAGAGAAGGGAAAGTTGGTATTGGAAAGGGTACATTTGGGAATTAGAGCCCAAATGTATTTTTGAAAATTTGAATAAAAGCATAATGTACAGTATGTAAAATTAAGAACATAAGGCAGAGAAACTAAATCTGGCTTTAAGGTCAGAGAGATGGAAGCATTTGGGGATATGGTCATAAAATCAGGCAGCATGAGTGATACCTGTTTTGCTTGGACTGGGTTAGCATCCCAAAGCGAAAGGAGGGACAAAATGACCTTTGGAAGATGCTACCATAAAACTCATACCTCACAACAACTGTAAGACTTAGGGTAAGACTTGACTGGTATTGTCTGCTGTTGGTTTGTTTATAGGCCCTTCCTCAATTGTGTGGAGCTAAGAGATGCCTGCAGCCCAGGGGAGGGAATGATGGATAACTAAGGAGCCTGTTCATGAACTGACTTCCAGATCCCATGTCAACACTGAGCCCTCAGCTGCTGGTGGCAGCTGCTCAGCAGACCCTGGGCATGGGAAAGAGACGAGGCCCGCCTCAAGCTGTCTGCCTTCATCTAGCTGGAGAGGTGCTTGCAGTTGCTCAGGGATTGAAACCAGCTCTGCTCTATGATTGTAATGGTGCAGGGACTTCAAAGATCCGGAGATATCTGGAGGAGCTTCAGAAGCTGGGCTTTCTGACCCTGGGACTTCACGTTCTTGAGATTGGGGAAAACAGCCTGATTATGAATCCTGAGCATGCGTGTCAGCACTTGGAGAAGGTGCTTCATGGGACTGTAGTCTTTGTGGATGTGTCCAGCTCCCAACCTCATCCTTCTGTCTGCTCCTTGGACCAGCTTTGGGACTTGAAGGGCCACGTGGCTGAGATTAACATGCATTTGAGGGGGCTGCAGAGGAACTCATCCCTAGTAGTCTCCTGCAGCAGGCTCCATTCCACAAACTGGAATTTCTGTACTATATTTGGGATCCTCCTGGGCTATCCTGCCCCCTATACCTTTCATCTGAGTGAAGGAGATGATAACTGCTTAGCCCTGACCCCACTGCGGGTGTTCACTGTCCGGGTCTCGTGGCTGCCAGGTCAACCCCCAGTCCTGCTGTATTCTTTCAGTGTCCCAGAGAGCTTGTTCCCAGCTCTGAAGGACATTCTGAACACCTGGAAGGAGGACCTCCAAAGCAGATGTCAGACTCAGAGTGACTTTGCTGACCTCAGTGTCTCCTCTGATATAGTCACGCTTCCAGCTGTGGCCCTCTGATTATAACTCTCCTTCCGTTTAACAGATTTTCAGTGAATGATGATCTTCTGGCTAGAGGTCATCTCAAATGCCAATTCTAATCCATTGGCAATGGCTGTCTTGAGAATATTAGGGAAGGGTTTTGGGGCCATATTTGGACTTAAAGAAATAGGATGCTGAGTACATTGAATAATTGGCCACATCTCCCATGGGCATGGGACTTGGTGGTGGTGGTATTGGTACCATTTCTTTATTATGATGTCGTTTCGATTTGGGTGTCTGTTTATTGGATGGGAGTTAATACAAAAGAGATGGAAAAAAAGAGGCTAGCTGGATGGGGAACAAGTATTATACCCTTGTATGGTAGCCTTGTAAATACACCTGTGTCATATGGAGTCCTGGTATAGTGCTGTTGGATAAGCAGTGAAGCACTAACAGCAATGTCGGCGTTCAAATCCACCTCTCCTCGGAAATTCTGTGCAGGGTCGAGAAGAGTTGGAAGTGACTCGATGGCACTTAACAACAGCAACAACATGTGGTAGAGGAGCTCTAGTGGTACTATGGATTAAACATGGGACTGCTAGCTGTGTAGTTGGCAGTTCAAACCCAACAGTCGCTCGGTGGGAGAAAGATGAAGCTGTCTACTCCAGTAAAGGTTTAGTCTTGGCAACCTTAAGAAGCGGTTATTCTCTCCCACAAAGGGCCACTATAAGTCAGAATCAACTCAGTGGCAATGGATATGGTGTTAGTTTGCCCAACAAATAAATGAAAGGCTGGGCTCCACTTGAATTGGGCTAGGAAGAGTAGGCCACGGTACTGAAGTGTCTTACTTATTTGTGATATGATGTGTTATTCTGGAAGACAGAGAGACTGGTCAGTTGAAGTTTATTTGTTTATTTTACAGTAGATTTAAAAAATAATAAAGTCAGAAATTACAACTTAAGTTGAGGGGAGAAACTCAAGCTGTAAAATAACTCAAACCTGAGTTTTCCATTGAGTTGCTTCTGGTGCTCACCCAAAGCAGCTATCACAAACTATTTATTAGATCCATCAGGCAATCCTTGTTAGCCAAGAACACTGCCAGTGCTGAAGCAATCACCACTATCAGCATTGGGAGCCATCTGCCACATTGCCTCTGTGGGTGGGATGGAGGGAGAGACAGAAGAAAGAGACTGAATTGGTTAGAGAGAACGTTGGTAAAATCTTCCTTCTTCCCATTCTAGCCAAGTAGGTTAATGAAGGAAAAAAGAGTTTTACTTGACGTTTTCATTCTTTGTCACCTGCCTTGGGGTAAAACCACTTTACTGACTTATAAGCCAGGGTTCATTAGTTTAGAAAATCACATTCAGTAGGGATGAGATGCCAAATGCTGCTGTGAATGAGCAGGGTGGAAAGTAGTTCAGCAAAATTATATTACTCTCTGTTCAGATTTCTCAGTACCTTTCTTTTCTCCTGTCCTTGCTCATAATAGGCTAAAAGAACATCATATCATGTTCTAACTAATAGTAAGTCTTTTCCTCTGGGCTCAAGAATTCCATGAAAATTGGACATGGATACTTAGCCAATGTGCCCAGCCATGGATGCCATGGTTGGTTGGTACCAGCGTTGGTAGTATGAACCTAGTGGAATGGGACAGGCTGGTCAGATATTGGCATGGACCAGTATATTGTATCTATAAGACTTGGATAACGAAGGAAATCATGCCATCATCATCTTGGACTATATGGTAGGACAAGGATAGACCCTCTCTCTTACTCTGGCAGGTTGCTGTTGGCCCCGGTTCAGCTCTTCTCGACAGTGCTGCAGCTTCCGCAGGCAGGAGAGGTACTCGTCACTGAGGTTGTCCAGCTCTGATTGCAGTTCTCTGCACTGAGAAGGAGAGTGTCACCAAGGTCATCACCACCCACTCTGTCCAGGACAGAGCCCAGGTAGGGGAGTTAGCTCTGTGTTAAGTTACCCCTCTCCAGGCTTTTGGCAAGTTTACCACCCTTCTCCCTTCCCCGGCCTTTCTCAGAGATTTTCAGTTTGTCAGAAATGTGTTCAATTAAGTGATTAATTATAATGCTGCTATACACATACAATGTAAGTGGAGTCCTGGTGTGGTGCTGTAGAATAAGCACTTGGCTGTTAACTGTAGATCAGCATTTCAAACCCACCAGCTGCTCAACTTGTCAGCATACAACAACAGCAACATATATGTAAGTGCTCTTAGGTGAAGATGTATGTGCTTTGTAATGGGGGTACCAAAAACTGAAGTTATTAGTATAAAAGACTCATATGTGATCATAGTACATGCCACTTTCCTGGAAGCATGAGAATATGCATGTATGTGAGTATGTAGGTAGGAAGAATTTTGGTGTTTAAAAGACTACATAAAGTTTTAAGGTGCCCACTCAGTGTGGGACAGAATTTGAAGAGTTACTATATTGATTGTGTTTGAATTTAGCTTGACTTTCCAAAGGGAACTGTTACTTTGATAAAAAAAAAAAACCTGTCTCGAATAGAGGTTATTATAAATAAAGAAGGGAAAAGGTTGACAAGTCAGCCCCAAAGCAAAGACACTTTATCTAGGCAAATGAATACTTGTGGGAATCCTCTCACAGCTTAAAGCTGAACTCTGGACTCCCTGCTTTGTGGCTGTCTCCCAGGGAGTAGAGACTGAGCTCTCATGGGCTTTTCCCTGCTGGTCCAGGGATCCCCTCACAATCCAAAGTCACCATCTCACCTCCTTCTCCTTGGCCTGGAGCTGCAAAGTCTTCTTTTGCAGCTGGTCTCTGAGATTCAGGTCTTTCTCCCCTGGACCCTCAGGCTCCACTTCAGTATGGGAGGGGTTTGGACTCCACACAGGAAAAGCCTGATCTAGAAAAGCAGCCAGATTCTCAGTGACAGTCATGTCCATGCCTTTGAGGAAGGGTCCTGTCACTCAGTGAGGATCCCCAGGAGGGGTGGGAGGGAAATGAAGGGAGTCAGGGAGGCCTGGCTCCACCAATTGGAATGTAATTCTCTGACTTTTAAAGAATACCCATTGGGATCCAGTTCAGCCTGGATAGAGAGCTGGACTTTGAGCTCCTTGAGGCTGTGGCTAAAGAACCCTGGTGGCACTATGGGCTGCTGACTGAACGGTTCAAAACCACCAGCTGCTTAGTGGGAGAAAGCTGAGTTGGTCTGCTCCCATAAAGATTTACAGTCTCGGTGGCTGAGTCGGAATCAACTCAATGGCAGTGGCTGTTTGGGTTTGGGGGCAAGGCTGCCATCACTTATTTGTGTTCCCAGTCCTGTTTAAGGCCAGATACTGTTAGGGAATGGTTATTAGTTGCATCTCTTTGGATATATGCCACACACTTTCTAGTTAATCAGGTAAGTTTGCTGAACGTTTCATTATAACCTCTTTTTCCTCTGTCCTTAATTTCAGAGATAAGATTAGTAGGTCATATCCTAGAATCTGTCTTCAGGTGGCTAAAGATGCTTTCCCAGTCACCTTGCAGTGTCAGTGTGGTGAGAAAAGGAGTTCTGGATTGTTTCAGCTCTATCCTTAATTTGTATGACCATAGGAGCTCTGGTAGCGTAGTGGTTACGAATCGGGCTGCGAACCTTAAGGTCAGCGGTTCGAAACTACCAGCCGCTCCACGGGAGAAAGATAAGGCTTTCTACTCCCGTAAAGATTTACACCCTCAGAAACCTTGTACAGGGTCGCTATGGGTCGGAACCGACTTGACGGCACTTAACAACAACAACAACAACATAGACAGTCATTTTCTTATCCATATGATATGGTGTAATAATTTTGCTTTATCTGTTACGGTACACCCAGTAATTGTGAGAAGGAAACATTCCAAGCAAAAGGTCCTATGTAGTAGAGAAGGGAGGAACAATTGCTTCCCCTGATCCCATCAACATGCACAATAGATTCTTTGGAAGTTAAGGCAGCAGACAAGATCTTGAGGGCTAAGAGTGAGGTGTAATTTGGAAAGTCAAGTGTATAAAAATTGACATGAAATCCTGAGTTCAAAATCAATTTATTGAAATGTTAAACACAAACATGCTTTCAGAGAGGGTAAAGTTTTTTGTTTTGTTCTTACATTTTTTTTTTTTAAACCTCTCGGGATAGAAGATTAACTAGTTAAAAAATTCTCAGCCCTTAGTTGATTCATCCTTACAAAGCTCCCCTACATTCCTGACCTCCTGACCTCATAGACTCCCAGAAATGAATAGGACTCCAAGAGGCTTGGCCTCTAGGCCAGCATGGAAATAGCAACATCTTAGAATTTGTGGTAATAAATTTGCTGACCTTTCTTTGTTAAGAGTTTCCTCTGTTCTTGAAGCTGTAAGGACTGATTCTGAAGTAGACCTGTTGGAAGACATAAGACAAGTGTCTGCTAGTATACTGACTGCAAAGAGTGTCTTTTCATAACTCTGCTTAGATCTTTGTTATGAAAGATGTCCTCATGCATATATCTCTTGTGGCACTGTAGGATAAGTACTCTAGTTAACTGCAAGGTTGGCCTATCAGCCACTCCTTGGAAATCCTATACAGGACTTCTATGAGTCAGGACCAACTCAACGATGCTTAGCAACAACCACCACCATGACTTTTATCATCAAGTTTGCATAAATGTTACCTTAAAAGAGCGATTTCTCCAGATGACGCTACAGTGTCAGTAACAGCCAATCTTTCTTTATCTGCCTTTACTGTTCTCCATAGCAGTTACTACAGCCTGGCACACTTCTTCATTTGTTAATAGAAACCTACGCTCTATGTAGAGTTTACTGAAGATGTAAGCTTTATAAGGGAAGGAACCGTGTTAGTTTTGTTCATTACTATATCTTTAGTGCTTCCATCTAGAGAGTTGCATTTAGTAGAGGCTCAGTAAATTGGTATTCAGTGAATAAAAGTGTGATTTTGAAGTGAATCTGTGGCTCTCTAGGAGGGGCGTCTCATCTGCTGATGGCCGTTCTTGCTTGCCATGTGGTCAGCTTGTCTTAGTTATATTTCATTGTTGTTTGCATGGAGCTGCTTTGCAGGGGTGTCAGAGGTTAAGATGGTGGTATGAGTTGAAAGGTTTTCCAGCTTTTCAGAAATTGTCTGCATTCCTTCTGAAAAGTTCTTTTTCTCTCTGTCCCTAGGAGGTAGTTTTGAAGTAAATTGAGGCACATGTAGTGTGAGCTTGTTTTCTGAGCCATTCACAGAGATGAATGTCTGTGTGATAACTGTTGTTATCTGCTGTTGAGTTGGCCCCTGACTCGTGGCTACCCCGTACACAGTGGAAGGCAATGCTCTTCCCTTCTGTGCCACCCCCATGATTGATTGTGGATTGGACTGTAGTGATCCGTAAAGTCGACACTGGCTGATGTTTGGAAGCATCTCTCCAGACCTTTTTTCCTAGAGCTCATTTTGTATGGAAGCTCAGCTGAAACCTGGTCAGCATCGTAGCAACACACAACCAGGTAGTGGCTGTGAGGAGGTGCAATGGCCAGGAATTCAACCTGAGTTCCTGCATGAAAGGTGAGAATTCTGCCATTGAACCATGTGGTATGTATATTCAAAAGGTCATGGAAAATGTGTATTATGAAAACAATTGCATGGATTTCATAGGTTTTTTTTTGCACCAAAATAAATGTGTACTTACCAGGACTCCTGGTGTGGCAATGTAAGATCAGTACTGGACTGCAAACCATAAGGTTGGCAGTTTAAACCCACCAGCTGCCCCTGGGGAACGCTATATAGGGTTGCTATGAGTCAGACCTGACTTGACGGCACTTTACAACAACAACTAGTTAAAACATGTTTGAACAGGATCCAGTGTGAGGCACTAAGAAAGAGAAGTCATTAGATCCCTTGTCAGAGCAATGTGAATTCTACTCAAACGGAAGCAAGAATAAACGTCAAATTTATGGTGAAGCTTGGGTAGAAGATTGGTGGAATCATTGATGTTTTATTAAAAGCTAATGGGGACAATGCCGCATAGAAATATAAAACTCATTCTAAGAATGGGTGAGATAATGTTGAAGATGAAGCCCGTAGCAGTAGGCCATCCATGTCAATTGGGAGGATAAAATTAATCTTGTTCATGTCCTGATCGAAGAGGACTGATGGTTAACAGCAGAAGCAATAGTCAACACCACAGATATTGCAATTGGTTCAGCCTATGCAATTCTAACTGAAAAATTAAAGTTGAAAACATTTTTCACTTGATGGGTCCCCAAACTGTTGCACCCAGATCAGCTGCAGACAAGAGCCGAGCTTTAAATGGAAATTTTAAACCAGTGGCATTAAGATCCTGAAACATTTTTGGATCAACTGTAACAGGAGATGAAATACGGCTTTACCAGCATCCTGAAGACAAAGCAATGGCTACCAAGAGGTAGAAGTGATCCAGTGAAATCAAGAGTGAACCAGTCAAGAGCAAAGGCTATCGCAACAGTTTTTTGGGATGCTCAAAGCATTTTGCTTGTTGTCTTTCTGGAGGGCCAAAGATAACTGGAGGTGCATGTACTCAGAAAGTTAACCAAAGCTTTAGCAGAGAAACGTTGTTCTGCATCACAACAATGTGCCCGCTCATTCCTCCCATCAGACAAGAGCAGTATTGTAGGCATCCACCTGACAGTCCTTATTTTTCCCCTCCTTACTGCTTTTTGTTTCCTAATCTTAAAAAAAAATCTGTGAAGGGCACCTGTTTTTCTTCAGTTGACAATGTGGATCTGACTGCACTGACCTGGTTAAATTCCCAGGACCCTCAGCTCATTTGGGGTGGACTAAATGGCTGGTATCATTGCTTACCCAACTGTTTTCAACTTGATGGAGCTTAGGTAGAGAAATAGTTTATATTTTTAACTTTTTATCTTTTCGTTCCACTTTTTGAAGTCATAGACATACAAATATATGTATGTAACAAATTAGAATATTTAAAAGAAAAACTGCCTTATAGACCCCAATACGAGTAGACTTGTGGTATTTTTAAAAATCTGTGATTTGGGAGAAATACAAGTGCTTGTGGAATGGGTAAAGTAGAAAAGTAAAAGACAAAAAGAACAGAGGCTATTACATCAGTTGTGAAAAGTTATGTAACTGATTCTTATTTCGCAAGAACAGGGTCCAGAAACCCATAGAGGTAGAGGATATGCCAAAGGCTTGGATCCCTTGGATCCCTTCTATCCCTTCTGTGGGGCTGGAGCCCTAGGAATACCAAGAAGACCCCTATGCTATTTATTTATAGAGTCTGTAAAGGGAACTCACTTTGTAACTCCTGTACTTTGGCCACCAGGGTGAGCTTTTCCTCTTCTGACCTCTTTAGTTGATCTGAAAATGAAATAATGCAAACCATAATAGAAGAGTCTAAATTAATTAAACACTTGAGGATGGAAGATAGGAATAGGTGCTGTTTCCCCATGGCCTTTGACATGAATCAAATTGAAGTTGCTCTCTCTGTTTGTCCTAGTTCTGAAGAGAGAGACAAGAACTCAGGTATCTTAGAATTCATGTACATTAACAATATTGGGTTGAACTAACGGTTATATTTACATACTATCCTGTCCTTTCTGTAACTGATACACAGACTGTGACTGGGAGACCTCCACCCAATTATGCCTTGTGCTTCACCTGACCTTTACCTTTCAAATTAAGAATGTGGCTTTGATACAGGGGACTGATGTGGACACAGCTATGATCTGGCCCAGATGAGTGTGCTAGAAAATAGAGCAGATTCTATAGGATTCTCTTGTGCAGTAAAATTAATTTTCAGTCTAGGACACGTAAAGCCATTCTGTCTTTTCATCAAGGTAGAATGAAGTCACAGAACCAACAGAACAAACCAATTCCTTGCTTTCCACTAACTCCCATGCTCCTGAAACCTCCAAGGAGAAGGCTACCTTGTAGGTCTTGGGTATCCAAGCTGCACAGATCTCTGTCCCCCTGCAGACATTCAATCTTGGCATGCAGCTCTTGGTGCTCATTCTCCAAAAGTTGCAGGGCCTGGTTCATCTGTACATCTCTGCTGTCTGCGCCCTGTGAGGAGGGGGTGCCAACACAAAAGCAGGTCAGGGCTGCGGCTGGAGATTGGCATTAGGTCCCACAGAAAAAGGTCAAAATGGTAGAATTTTAACATTACAAGAAGTATTAGGGAAATGAAAAAATAGTGAAGCTTTTGGGTTTTTTGTATTCACTCCTTCAGTGCTTTGTTGTTACTGTTAGTATCATGGAGTCAGTTCTGGCTCACAGTGACCCTGCATAGAGTTTCCAAGGAATGACTGGTTATATTCACAAGGGTATATAATCATGAGCGCTTTTGTAGACGTCTACACTTTCTCTTTACTTCTTTTACTGGCATTATCAATTTTATATAAAATTTTTGGAGACCCATGCTTCACAAAGAATTAATGCTTAAAAGACACTTCATCTGTGTAGCTTTGTAGGTAATGGGAGGAAGAAACCACCATCAGTACACCAGTAGGCTGGTATGTAGATGCAGAGGAGGCTACTCATTCATTGGATAGGGCTCATACTCCGTGCCTCATGCCAAATGGTCTACCCAAGATCATGGCTTCGGTAAAATGATAAAGAACAATTTTACAAGTAGATCAAAATTCCAAACTATGTAAGTGAAATCTGTGAAAAATAATTGCTAACATTTATTGAGTGCTTACACGAGGAGGCTTCAGACTTTGTGGAACAATGGAGTTAAAAAGTCTTACAAAATTTCCATGAGCTTTTTGAAGTCCCTTTGTATGTACTAGGCACTGTGCTAAATGCTTTACATTACTCATTTTTATCTTAGGATACAGGTTCTACTGTCCTCATTTTATTATAGGTACTCTTATCCTCATTTTAGAATTGAAGGAAACAGGCTTTGGAGGTTAACTAACTTCCCCAAGGTAGTGCAGACTGGAAAGATCAAGCCCTCGTGAATGCCAGATTGGGAATGTCAAAACCCTTGAGAATGTCAACAGTCTACTGTAATCTGAAATCACATTGGCAGGATGTGTTAGTTAATACTCGCCTATAAATAAATTAGTGACATTTATTCAGTGCCAATAGTGGGCAAGCCTGAATTGGATGCTCTACTGGGATGGTGTGGGTGCAGTGAGTTGGATATAACATTAGTAGGCTGATGAATATTCCAATCCAGCCCTCTGCACTTAAATGGCGTCATTCCAATGAACACTTAGTTCTGTTGCATGAGCAATGCAGAGACATCCTTGCTAAACTCAAAATTAAATCTCAACCAAAGGAGTGAGTCTGGTACAAAGTGACCAGGGAGTGAGGAACTGAAAGATAGATGGCCTTAGCTGTCCTTGGGGCCCCCGACCTAGCTGCAGTTTCTTTTATCACCCCCTATAACTTGCATCCTCAGTGCCTGGTACCTGCAGTTTGGTCTGGAGCACATGGAGCTGACTCTCCAGCTCTCTGTGCTGGGTCCCCAGGGTTCTCCAGTCCTCCTGTAGAGTATTGTACTGGGTCCTCCATTCTTCACACTGCTGCTCAGCCAGGGCCAGGGAGCGCTGAGGGAAGTCAGAGAAGAGAGGAGGGAGTGCCTTGGGGATTCCACTGAGTTGTGCAGCAGATCCCATTGCTCTCCAGAGCTGACCCTGGGGGCCCCAGTGCCAAGGGTGCTGCAGCATTCTCATACCTTTGTGCTCTGCAGTTGGTGTTCTGCACTCATTTTCTCCTCCAGTAATTTCTGCAGTGACTCTTTGGCCTTCTGCTCATAGCTGTTTTTCTGATCTTCCATCTCCAGTAGTACCTTTTTTATCCCCCAAGGGGAGTATTTCTATAAATTTGATACAATACAATAAGTACACACTGAGATTTCCTGTGCCAAACACTGAGCCAAATACAGAAATGAAAACAAGAGTCCCTGCCCTTAGGGCAGAGGTGCCAGTAATCAGGTGGGCCTTTAGGTTCATGGTAATGCTGGCCAGGCTCTGTGAAGGGAGTGGGGGCAGGAAAACAGTGCCCTCAGCATGCTGGACATTGTCTCCTAGGCCTCTCATGGTGGTGGTGGTGGTGGTGGTTATGTACCGTGGAGTCGGTTCCAACTCATAGCGACCCTATACAGGGTTTCTGAAGCTGTAAATCTTTGAGGGAGCAGAAAGCCTCATCTTTCTCCCACCTAACAGCTGGTCATTTAGAACTGCTGACCTTGCGAAGCCCAACTCATAACCACTATGCTACCAGAGCTCCTTAGGCCTTTCATAGGTACTTGAAATCCAACATTCCAAATGGAAACCATCTTTCCACACTTGCTTCTTTCACCTGGGCTTCCTATCCCAGGAACTGACATCATTACCCACCCAGACTCGAAAGCCTAAATCAGAGTCATCCTTGATTCCCCTCTCCCTTTCTGTCAATAACCAATTGGTCAATGAGACTTGTCAAGTAACTTCCTTGACAGCTCATAGCTAACTCATCTCTAGCACTACCCTTATTGCTACCTCCTTAGTTCTAGGCTTTAATAATACTTTGTTTGTGGAATAATGTAATAGTTTGACCACCTGCAAGATTCTTCCAACTCTATTTCATCCTCTAGCTAGAGAGTTCTTTCTAAAATGCAAATCTGATCATGTTACTTCCTGCTTAAATCTCTCAATGAATTCCCAGTGTCTTAAGGATTAAGTCCAAACTCATTGGCATGGCTTTTATTTACAAGCACAGACTTTCATTCCATGCTTCTTCCATCCATGGTGAACTGATTGTAGAGCTCCTCAATACCATGCTTTTGGCCTCTGCCTTTGCTCATATTGTTAAGTGCCATCAAGTCAATTCTGACTCATAGCGGCCCTGTATAGGGTTTTCAGGGAGCGGCTTGTGGGTTGGAACTCCCAGCTTTGTGATCTGCCTTCTTAAAGTATCATTGCCTACCTTTTCCCCTTGGCCAACTCCTATTCATGTTCAAGTGTCTGTTGTTTTGATAAATCTTGACTAACTACCCCTACCTTCAACTCCTTATGGATTAGGTAACCTGCCTCAGTGTACCCTTTTTATACTTCTAGTATCCCAACTTTGTTAGCTCATTGGTCTCTCTTATTGTTAGTTACTGGCAAGTCACTTCCCACTCATGGCAGCCCCATGTGTTTAGAGAGAGTTGTCTTGGCTGTAATATTAATAGAAGCAGATAACCAGATGGTAGCTTAAGGGGTACTGCTGGGTGGGTTCAAGTCATCAATCTTCAGGCTAAGTTGAATGTAAACCTTCTTGTGCTACTTAAGGACATTTCTCTTATACCTAGGACCTAATTTCTCTTTGTGGTTGTTAGGTGCTGTTGAGTTGATTCTGAGACTGATCCTATGTGACAGAATAGGGTTTAGTATGCTGTAATCATTACAAGAGCAGAATGTCAGGTCTTTTCTCCCATGGAGCCACTAGTGGGTTCAAACTGCCAACCTTTTGGTTAGCAGCTGAGTGCTTAGCCATTGTGCCACTAGGCCTCCTTACTGGATTGTAAAACCTTTTAGGGTAGGGACATCTTTTTTGGGTCTGTAAAAATCCCCGTAACTAATACATTCAACTTAATACATTTACATTTAAAAATTTCCTCCTGGCTTCACTATGATCAAGAGCAACCTTGCACACTCACTAGGGGTTTTGCCCATTCTTTCCCCCTTCCCCCCAAGCTTTATCTTTATGCCTTTTATTTTGGGGAAGGCACATAGCTTTTACTGTCAATTTTGGATCACCCACTGGGTAAGCAGTAGTCAAGATAATTCAAATTTAGCAATCAGCATGAAATAATTTCCATTTAGCTCATCTGAAAATTTGAATCTAAATGTGAATGAGTCTTATATTTCATTAGCAACCAGATTCAGGGGTTACTGGTTGAGTTCATACATAGGGATGTCCCAATTACTGAATGTAGCCATTTTAAGCATGTTGGTCATTGGCTAGCTTTATCCTCCACTGAAAATAAGTAGACTGGCATTCTGGATTATATGTTGGTATTTTATGAGCTTAATGATATTAGTTCACAAGAGCCTGACAAATCAGTCGTACTGGGGGGACAAAAGTGTGGTGTAGCAAACGTATATAAAGTCTGTTCCCCTGCAAAATCTCACATGTAGCTTCACATCTGCTTTAACCACCTCTAAATGGGAGTGGTGTGGTGCTGTAGGTAAATGCGCTGGACTGCAAGGTTGGTTTGAACTGCAAGGTCAGTGGTTCAAGCTCACCAACCGCTCCTTGGAAACCCTGTACTGGGTTGCTATGGGTTGGAACTAACTTGACAGCACTTCACAACAGCAACAAATGGGAGTAGTCTGCCAGCTCCATCTTATTCTCTTATTTGTATCTCCCCACCTGTCAAGAATCCATCATTTCTCAAGTGTGGGAGATGATTTCTTCCATTCTATCTCTTGTAATCCAAGGTCAGATTAGTTAACGGATTGCTGAAGGAGGATAAAAATGCTACAACAGTGCAGACAACCATAATATTTTTACTTTCTTCAAAGAATTACTACTAGATTAAGTACCTGGAATGAAAATCATGTTACAAGATTTCACTGTAACATTTGACTCATCTGTTCAAAGGCTGGGACCTGTGAAATTCTATCTGGGTGATGTGAATCTTTAGCAAGAAGTTCTACCTACAGTTCTCAAGATTCTGCTGTAGCCGGCAAGTGCTTGGTGCTGTCATTCCTTCACAAAGTGCAAACCTTAGGAGGGGCACTGGCAAAAAGGGAGAGGAGGGTGAAAATAATGATATGGTGAATTGGGAACCAAAGTGAAAATGACAAAGCCAGAAATGGGCGAATAGGAATGGGTTTGTTGATCTCTCTGTCTCATGACATTTCTAGGAAGTTAGACTGAAGCAACATTCTTCTCCATTAATTCTAGGATCCTAGATTGGCAGTGTCTCAGAATGCTTACCTGGGTGCAAGTGTACAGCTGGTTTTCTAAGGATCTCAGTTTGCCCTTCAGCTTGTCTTCATTGAGCTGTCCCTGGAGCAGATGGGATGAGTTAATAATGAATCTGAGATTAAGTACAGTCTACAAAGAGTTTTGCTCTCTACTCCCAGTACATACTAGTAAATGCTCAAATCGTGCATGTGGAACTGAATTCTTCTTGGAGGTAGTGGTGGTGGTGGTGGTAGTGTGCTATAGAGTCAGTTCCGACTCATAGTGACCCTGTACAGGGTTTCCGAGGCTGTAAATCTTTACGGGAGCAGAAAGCCTCATCTTTCTCCCACAGAGCAGCTGGTAGTTTTGAACTGCTGACCTTGAGGTTAGCAGCCCGACTCGTAACCAGTATACTACCAGAGCTCCTTCTTCTTGGAGGTAGGGAGGAAGAAAGATGTCAGAGGCCATTTGGATAGAGGAGGGTCTTCTCTTTCTCTGCAGTAGAGAAAGGGAAAATCAGACTGGCCCCCTAAGTCCTCTTTGTATCTTAAAATTTCCTATCAAATGCCTCAGGATAACAGCAGGGGCCCACTGGAAGGAATGGTTCTAAACAGCCCTGTCTCACACCATTCGCTGTCTAGGACTTCTGTGCTCACCTCCTCTCAGTCTGCAATGGTGAGAACTAAGACCTTTCCCTCTAGAATATAGGCTAATAAAGGCAAAAGGAGTTCCCTGCTCCTCCTATGCCCTCTTGCCCCAACATACACAAACACACTGGACTTAAAGCTGAGAAAGTCTTTAGGAAAGCAAGTAATGAAGGGGAAAGTAAGAGGACTTCCCAGAAAGCCAGATTTATTCATAAGCCAGGTCTGACTAAGACTTTCCAAGAGAGATGCTAGTCCAAAGGTTGAGGGTAGAGAAAGGCTGGAATAAAGAGTCATTATATGCTTTCTGGAGTTCTGGTTCCTGGTGTGGTGCTGTGGGTTAATGCGCCAGACAACAAAGCCATTTGCAAGGTCGGTGATTCAAGCTCACCAGCTGCTCCTCAGAAACCCTATACAGGGTCGCTATGGGTCTGAATCCACTCGACAGCACTTAACATCAACATATGCTTTCTAGACTCCTGGTGTGGTGCTGTGGGTTAATGTGCTGGACTGCAAGTCATTTGAACTGCAAGATCAGCAGTTCAAGCTCACCAATCACTCATTGGAAACCCTATACAGGGTCAGTAATGGGTTAGAACTGACTTGACGGCACTTAACAACAACAACATATGCTTTCTGGAGTCCTGGTGTGGCGCTGTGGGTTAATGTATCACACTGCAAAGCCATTTGAACTTCAGGGTCGGCGGTTCAAGCTCACCAGCTGCTCCTTAGAAACCCTATACAGGGTCACTATGGGTTGGAACCAATTTGATGGCACTTAACAACAACAACAATCTGCTTTCTGCTCCCATAAAGACTTACTTACATCTTGGAAACCCTGTTCAGGGTTGCTATGAGGCATAACCCACTCCACAGCACACCACCAGCTGTCTCTCAAGTTTTCAGTCTCTCCGCTGAATAACTGATAACTTCCTGCTGCTTTGTTCTTCCTTCCACCTGCAGACTTGTTGCTTTTTCCCAGGTGGAGGATTTTATTCTTTCACCCTCCAAGTTTTGTTTAAGGTATATGTGTTTAAGGTGTGTATGTGTATGGGGGAGAGTCCTGGTGTGGTGCTGTAGGATAACACTGGACCCCAAGGTTTGAATCACTAAATCTTTAGTTCAAACTCACCAGTAGCTCCTTGGAAACCCTATATAGGGTCGCTATGAGTCGGAATGGACTTGACTAGCACTTAACAACAGCAACATGTGTGTGGGAAGGGGAGGGAGCGTTGTCCATGAGAGCTGGTTTCCCAGACAAAGGACCATGGGCCTCATTGACAGTAACTGGCTTTCATACCCTTCTCTGACTTTTTCCAGCCAGGCCCTGTGGGACACTTGTTGGGTCTTCAGCCCTGAAACTCTGTGAGCCTTCTCAGCCAGATGGCCTGGATGTTTCCAACCCTCTCAGTGTTTCCGGTCTGTTAACTGCCTGGGGGCAGGGAAGGGACTGTGCTCTGAGGTCTGTCCCCCTCTATGAGTTTCAGGGTACCTGGGGGAGGCAGGAAGTGGTATCTCACAGCTCCTGTTTTGATCTTGTTTGGCTGATTCTTCTAACCATGGGAGCCAGGGGGCGCCCCCACCCTTTCTGCTTCCTGTGTTACTCAGCCTGGCCTTGCAAAAGCAAAAGGCTTTGCCAACCATAATTTTTTAAAGTGCCTCCTGCTTTTAATGTTTTTCCTAATGTCTCGTGTGAGCTCCGAGAGTCAAGGATTTGGCATCTCCAGGAACCGCAGGGCTCTGGAACAGATAAAGAGGTGGACAAAGACTTCCACTGTTCTGAGCTTTGGAGTAACTGGTAAAACAACTTCATTCCCCAGAGTGGCCTGTTAGTTGTCAATCACAGGTTCTGAACCAGTCTTTTTCCCCTGGTTCAGTTCTCCTTCCTACAACCCCATACGTTTTCCTCTCCCTGAACGCTTATCATTCATAGTGTAACCAAACCCTCCCAGTGTAAGGCTTACCTTCCTGTAGTTTGGGAAGAAAACCGGCTGGCCCATGACAGTATTCCTAAGGTTTCCCTAGTTTCCTTTGGTGCCCTCTCTGGGAATTTTTCTTCCCAGATTGTAGCTTCTCTCTCCCTATTCCTTACTTAGTCTGGCTTTAATCCAACATTTTGCCTCTCCCAACTGTTTTTGTATTTAAACCCAACCACAGATTACTTTTCCATTCATGTTGCAATAGAAGACAATTCAGGATAGTCCCTTTGGTGGAGATGAAGGGCCACCCAAGTCTGGGACTTGAAGAAATCTCTTGTCCACAGCTTTGCCTTCCCAGACTCCCCAAGGCAGGCAGGAAAGTTACAGCCAACTTGCTGCAAATGGGGCATTGGAATTTCCTGGTCTAAGCCCCACTTCTTTTCACACTGAAGCCCAGTGTAACAGTCGGTGGGCTGAGATGCTTCTACAGTCCCAGCACTGACCTAGGCAATGGCACCAGGGGTGGGGAGTACAAGACTGAGGCTATACAAACCTGGTGCTGGTCTGAGGGCTTCAGCTCTTCCTCCTGCTTGGTTTCTGCCTGCCTCTGATGTGCTCTCCAGAAACACCACCAGCTCACCACAGATGCACTGGCCCACAGCTCACCTATTTGCCCTAACAGCAGAGGGTGCTTAGGGCTTGCAGCCAATCCCCTACTGTACTGTCATTACCAGATCTCGATTCCACTTTGCCGATTTTACAATGCAAGCGTGCCCCACTCACTTTTGGAATTGCCCAGTGTTGAGAGTCTTGCTTTCTCTTCTTCCTGAACTGTTCCTGCTCTGAAGATTGGACCCAATTTAGGCATCTCAGCAGAGACCCAGGTCTCCTTCATTCACAAGGCTTGGGGGTTGAAGGCCGTAGAGGGAGCTTGTCCTGGATCTTCAGGGTTCTAATAGTCCGTGATGAGAGCAGCCCGGCGTGTGAGGTTGGAGACTCAAATCACGGCAACTGAATGGAAAACATCAAGGCCTGAACTGGCTGAATGTCAGAGTTTTGGTTCTGGCCCCATTCTTCACATAATTTTCCCCAAATACCGCAGACTGGGGCTGTCCTGTTTAAATTGAGGCTTTCAGGGACGGATAGAGAGCTGAATTGTTTTGTGTTGGGGGAAGCAAAAACTCTTAACTTTCAAGTCTGTGACTCTTTTTCTTAAAAACAGGAAATTGGGTGTTGGTGTAAAGGAGGAAGTAGAGAAGGGTGAGTGAGTATTGGAAGGGTGGGAAGAAGGGAGGCAGAAAACCACAGCCAGAGGAACTTGTATCCACCTATTGGGGTGTGGGGTTGAAACCAATCCCTCAGAGTCTACCTGGAAATGACTCTTAACAATCCTTCCTGTGCCCACCATTGTTGTTAAGTGCCCTTGAGACGGTTCTGACTCATAGCGATCCTGTAGAGGGATATGTATATGCATAAGGAGCCCTGGTATCGTAGTAGACTATGAGCTGGACTACTAACCTCAGTACGATTCCAGCAGCTGCTCTGTGGGAGAAAGATGAGGCTTTGTGCTCCCGTAAAGATTTACAACCTCGGAAACTCTATACAGGATCACTGAGTCAGAACTGACTCCACGGCACACAACCACCATGTATATGTATGGAGTCCTTGTGTGGCATTATAGGATAATTCACTGGATGGTAAAGGTAAGTTTGAACTGCAAGATTGACAGTTCAAATCTACCAGCTGCTCCTCGAAAACCCTATACAGGGCTGCTATGAGTTGGAATAGACTCAATGGCACTTAAAAACAAGTATGTGTGTGTGTGTATTTGAAGCCATACAAAGCGACCCCATGTAAGCAAAGCATCACTAAGAATGAAGAACAAAGTAGGAGGCCTTTCACTTCCTGGTCTCAAAACCTACTACAGTCACAGTAATCAAAATAGCCTGGTCATGGTACAATGGAAGACACATAAATCAGTGGAAAAGAATTGAGAATCCAGAAGTAAATCCATCTACCCATGCTCAGTTGATCATTAACAAAGTTCTGAAACTCATTAAATGGGGAAGAGATTCAACAAATGGTGCTAGAAAAACTGGGAATCCATTTGCAGAAGAATGAAACAAGACTCACATCTCACACCATATACAAAAGTGAACTTAACGTGAATTGAAGGCCTAAATGTAAAACTTAGCACTATAGAGAGCATCAGTGAAAAAATGGGGACATACTTAGAGGCACTCATCAATGTCACATACACTATTATACATAATTGAAAACACACAAACAGCATAATACAAAATAGACGACTTGGACCACCTAAATATTAAACACTTATGTGCATTAAAGGATGAGAACCTACAGACTAGGAAACACTTTTTGGCAATTGACAGACAAAATCCTAAAATTTTAGGATACTTCAAAACCTCAATAAGACACAAATGATCCAATTTAAAAATGGGCAAGGGATATGAACATGCTTCTCTGAAGAAGATACTCAAGTGGGCAACAAATATTTGAAGAACTGCTCACAAATCAT